AGTTTTTTTTTTTCTTTTCTTTGCTCCCTTTCTTCCTATTATCTATTCTTCTTTTCTTTATTTTTCCTTTTTTCTTTATTTTATTTATTTATTTTATTTATTTCCTCTTTTTTTCTCTTCTTTTGTGGTTCTTTTTTGTGCATGCATGCAACTAGTCTATTGTCATTAGTTATATACATCTTTTTCTTTTTTTTTCTTCTTTTTTCTTCTCCCTCCTTTCTCTTTTTTTGCCTCTTTTTCTTTATTTTATTCTCCTTCTTTTCTTTATTATTTTATTCATATTTATATATACAATTAATTTATTTATTTCTTCTTTTTTTATTTCTTCTCTTCTTTGTTGTCTGTCCTTCCCTGCTTACGTTTTTCTTGTATTTCCCTCTTGTTTTTGTTCTTTTTTCTCCGTTTTTTTTGTATAATACCTTTTTATTAATGAATTAAATTAATTAATTAATTAAATATAATTAAATAAATGTATTTATTGCAGCGTTTTGCAAGAGAAGACACAGAAGATGGTAACAAAGAACTACAACAAAAAAGACAACGCAAGATGGAGGATATCAAGGCATTTACATCACCAGAAGATTTCCCTAAAGATCTAAGACCTAGCAAAGTATATTTATTTATTTATTTATTTATTTATTTATTTATTTTATTCTTTTTCTTTATGTATTTATCCCTATATCTTCTGGCTAGACTTCTGTTTAGTTCTCCTCTCCTTTCTCCTTCTTTTCTATTCATCTATGTTATATATATATATATATATATATATATATAGACATACTATATGTATATATATATGTATATATATATATATACATATATGTATATTTGTTGTGTGTGTGTGTGTGTGTGTGTGTGTGTGTGTGTGTGTGTGTGTGTGTGTGTGTGTGTGTATGCATGCAGCTATATGTAGACATGAAGTCTGAATGTTTATTCCTTCCTTTCCCTAGTAGACATTTACCTGTACATTTATCTACAGTAAAGAACGTAACATGTAGCGAGACGGAGACGAGTGCATCTGCTGCTGCAGCAGCAGCAGCAGCAGCAGCAGCAGGTGGTGGTGGTGGTGGTGCAGCAGGAGGAGGAGGTAAAGGTAACCGTTATGCTATATTAAGAATAAACTTCCAAGTACCAGGGTCACAAACATTAACACAAAAAGGAGAAGAGAATCCTTTGCCAGATATTGCAGGAAAGCAGCAACTTTTTATTAAGGAACTTATGTTCAAGAGCGAGGATAGTAGACATCTACAAAGTATGTATATATAAATATATAAATAAATATAAATAAATCAATAAATATAAATAAATCAATAATTAATTTATATATATATGTTGTTTGTATGTTTCTATCTTTTTATTTTGGGGTTATTTGTTCCTATTTGTTTATATATGTATATTTGTACACCTTTTTTCTGCATGCATGTATATCTTAATAATAAATAAATAAATAAATAAATAAATATAAATAAATAAATAAATAATATTTATAATTGTTGTATGCATGCAGATATATACCGTACAATAAAAGAACAATTAAAAAGAGTAAAACAGAAAGCAGCAGAAGATTCACAATATCCTGGTGAATTACCTGCACAAGAAAAATTAATATTAAATAGATCAGGAAGAAGAATATTATTAAAAGATTTAATGATTAGACCTAATATATCTACAGGAATGAGGAAACTTATTGGTGCATTAGAGGCACATACTAATGGATTAAGGTAAGAAATAAGCAACTTCTTCTTCTTCTTCCTCTCCTCTTTCTTTTTTTTTCTTCTTCTTTTTCTTCTCCTCCTATTCCTGAGTGTTTACATAAGGGATTTACGAGGGTTTTAAGGGTTTAGACCGAAGGAAAAGGGTTTAGGGTTTAGGGTTTAGGGCTGTCTAGTCGAGGGTTTAGGATTGTCTGTCTGTTTGTTTTTTTTTTGTTTATTTATTTCTTTATTATATTATAATTAATTAATATAATATAAATTAATATAATGTATATATATATTTATTTATTTTTATAGGTTTACCGTCAATACCCGAGGGCAAATGGATGTAGTAGACGTAACTTATTCAAATATAAAACATGCAATTCTTCAACCTTGCGAACGTGAATTAATCGTCTTAGTACATTTCCATCTAAAAGTAAGTCTTTTCTTCTTTTTTTCTTCTTTTTTTTCTTCCTTTTTTCCTTCTTTTATTGTGTGCGTAATAAGGAGCCCAGGCATGTATGTGGGCTCCTTATCACGCACACAATAAAAGCAATTAAACTCTACACACTATATAAATAGTATAAATATTAACAAGAATAATTATTTTTGTTTATTTGTTTGTTTATTTTGTTTTGTTTATTATTTAGACTCCTATATTGGTGGGGAAGAAAAGAACACTAGATGTACAATTTTATACAGAGGCTGGTACACAGACGGATGACCTAGACAACAGAAGAACGTGAGTAACGAATATGTTTCTTTTTACGAATAATTTTAGTGTATTTATCCCTAATGTACCCTTTATTAGACCATTTAAATGAATTGCCTGAACAATTTATTGAATTATATACACATAAAGGGGCTATTTTTGTGCAAAAGAAGAGGGGGAAAAGGAGGAAAAAGAATGTTGCGTTTATTGTACTATAATCAGGCGCTCCTATCATGATCCTGATGAAACTCTTGACGAAATGAGGGAAAGAGAAATGAAGAAAAAATTAAATGGAGAATTTAAGAGATTTGTTCAACAAGTTGAGGAGGTCTCCAAGGTTGAGTTCGATCTACCCTATAGGTATATATAGATATAATATATTATTCATCTTTCTTTCCTCTTCTCTTCCCCCTTTCTGTCCTATTTATTTATTTATTTATTTATTTATTTGAGTAATTATGCAGAAATTAATGTAGTGGTCCTTACGTTTCTCAAGGTTTTCTTTATTTCTTTCCGTGCTGGGTCTTGTCTTGGCTTGGCTTCCTCGTGACTACTTACCAATGCAATTAGATTTCCTTCTTTTTATTGAATTCTTCTCTCTGTTCTTTGTTCCATTTTATCCTTTTTCCTCTTGCTTACCTCTATACCTATCTTGTGCATGGAAAGCACTAGCATCTCCCCGCACTCCTTTCTTATGCTGCCTTTCTTTTTTTTTTTTTTTTTTTTTTTTTTTTTTTTTTTTTTTTTTTTTTTTTTTTTTTTTTGGAA